ACATACGCATAAAAAAGTAATGGATTACACACACATCTTATTCAATTAGAGCAAATTAAAAATATAAAAAAATTGAAGCTAAATATAATATAATATATAATATAAAAACACAACAATATGATTTTCAATGCATAAATTTTACAAATCTTTTACAGTAAACCCCCATCCACATTTCCCTCCTTCGACTGAAGTCGTAATCCGTGAAAAACTTGGACCACTAATGCCATCTATTAGAAAAATAGTAAATTAAGTATCCTAAAGTAGAAGCGAACTCACCTCGGGCTTCACAATTACTCGACTTAAATTAATACAAAATAATGAAAAAGGTATGAAAAATATGTTTAATAAAAATTCTACGTTAAAGGGTTAATATCCAACCAATTATACTTCTGCCGTAGAAAGAGATGGACTCAGGGATGGCAGCTGCTCCGTTTTCTGCCGAAGTCTTAAATGAGTAAGTAGCGAATTAACCCTTTCTAAAGCCGTGGTAAGTATACTTACCACCAATTTTTCTATGGTGAACTTTTTTATCACTTTTAATTTAGATTTCCATTTGTTAATAATAACTTCAGCTTTCTTGCAGTGCGTTTGAATAAAATTGTCAACCACTTGTTAGTTTAAGAAAACGTATAAAATGCATAATTCCTTTTGAAGATTGTACCATTTATAAAATGTATTTTATAAATAAAGAATAAAAGTCAATAAGTTCCTAATCGATCGTGTTAAATATACTTATCACAAAAAACAAAGGCATTTTTATAAACTAAAAGAGTTTTTTTTTCTTCTTATGTCTATTACTATTCTATAACAATTTCAATTCAAAAAAATACTTTAATTTACCTTTACTAGAAATAAATGGCCCATTGACACGTTCACGCCGGGTGTTGAGCCTGAAAGCGGGACGGAAAAGAGAAAATCCTGGTAGAAGAACTATTTCAATATTAGATAATTCGGGAGGAGTTAATCTATTCTCAACAATAACAATTCACTGTAAGGAAATTTATCACGGTGAAGAAGCAATTCAATATAAAAATTGCATCCGTTAAAAACAATTGGTAGTTATCGATTTTTATTATTCCCGGAAAAAAACTAAAAAATGAAATTTATTTGTTACCAGTTTTTACTCCGGTGCGTCGCCCGATGAGACAATCTAGCGTGACCCACCGGTGGGTCACCCCGGCGTGAACGTGTTAAAGGGTTAAGTCATAAGACTTATAGAGCAAGAATAACTAAGCCTACCTTTTAGAAAATCACCGCGAGATAGTTGCAATAAAGATGCATTTCACATGATACTTTCAATTTTTGATATGCCGTGGTTGAAGAATTACCTAGAGAGACAAATATTAGACAAATAATATCTTTAATTTCGTTACTACTAGAGAATATATCTTTACAAACAGGTTCGATCTGGGTAATCTCAATCCAACAAATCTGAAACATTTCTGAAGCTAGAGAGAACGATACCTCTAGCGTATGTTTCATGCGAGATATATTTATCAGTGGTAGCGATCAAAAGCCAAAATTTTTCAAACGAATAGAATTTTAATAAAACTATAATAATGACTTAACATTCGCCAGCTAACTCAATCTAATATTTAATAATTTTTTTAAAACAATGTTTTATTTGTGTCGGAAAATTTTTAATTATTAAAATATTAAGGAAATAATTTTGCTACGATTAGAAGAAAAAAAATTTCTGAAACTACGGAAACTCCGCAGTAGTCGAAGAGTATGTTCATCCGGAATACCAATATACATGCAGATCTCAAAATACCAACTCTATCACAGCATATATACAAGCTAAATGCAGATTTTTTCGATAAAGCCATAGAATGTAAAACAGCAAATTTTAATGAAATCTTTAAATTTGAAAATTATATCAAAGATAAAAACTACAGACCAATAGCTGCACATTTCACCTCCGACGCCTCATATCATAACTATCAAAACAAATAATTTCATCAACCTTTCTGAAANGAGATTCTCAAAGAAAACCTCAATTATAGCCCGGCGACGGTCTTTTTTATGTCAGATGGAGTTCTCTCCAAACGATTTGCGAATTAGCTCACATCACTACTCACGATAATCAAGGTTCCTGTCTGTGCACCAATGAAGCCCGCAAGGGGGGAGGCGAGGCAGGCAGGAGCTGAGATTTTTATTCTCCCAACGGACCCTTGTAAATAGCTGTACATATTTCTTTTATTTTTATTCTCGTTTATTGTATTATCTCTCTTTTATTATCGTATTGTATTAACCCCATGTATCCAACTGCGATTTATATTACCACACCCCCCCCCTGCTTTTGAGCTTAGGCTTACCATTTAAATTTTATTCACTGAGACGAATGAGTTAGGGCCCCTTCGGGGCCGACACTTAGGTAAAGACTTGACATAGACATAGACATAGGTTGTCAGCTAATGTTTCTTCAAACACAACGTATTTTTTCGCTTACAATTGAAATTTTAATTCCATTTTACTACCACTGGGAAAAATCGTAATGGAAGGGATCAAAAGTTGGCAGGTATGCTTTAATTTACCTTTACTGGAAATAAATGGTCCATTAACACGTTCAAGCCTGGTGTTGCACCTGAAAGCGGGACGGAAAAGAGAAAATCCTGGTAGAAGAACTATTTCAATATTAGATAATTCGGGAGGAGTTAATCTATTCTCAACAATAACAATTCACTGTAAGGAAATTTATCACGGCGAAGAAGCAATTCAATATAAAAATTGCATCCGTTAAAAACAATTGGTAGTTATGGATTTTTATTATTCCCGGAAAAAAGCTAAAAATTGAAATTTATTTGTTACCAGTTTTTACTCCAGTGCGCCGCCCGATGAGACAATCTAGCGTGACTCACCGGTGGGTCACCCCGGCGTGAACGTGTTTAAGGGTTAAGTCATAAAACTTATAGAATAAGAATAACTAAGCCTACCTTTTAGAAAATCACCGCGAGATAGCTGCAATAAAGATGCATTTCACATGATACTTTCAATTTTTGATATGTCGTGGTTGAAGAATTACTTAGAGTGACAAATAATATCTTTAATTTCGTTTCTACTAGAGAATATATCCTTACAAACAGGTTCGATCTGGGTAATCTCAATCCAATAAATCTGAAACATTTCTGAAGCTAGAGTAAATGATACCAGATATGCCAACTTGCTCCGGACAGCAAATATATATTTTAAAGTGGTAGTTTATCAATTGTGATTCTTGGTTTAATAAAATCAATTTAGTAGATTTTTATCCACCACTATTTCTAAATAAATCGTTGGCTTATATAATTCACCTTCTTTTAGTACGTTAATTTAATCATGCTATACCTTTTAAAAAGCAAGTAAAAATAGACAAATATTTGCGAAATTTACTTTGTAGTTATTTACCACTCTTTTAATTATTTTGGCGTGTCCGGAGCAGTTGGCATCTTTGCGATACCTCTAACATATGTTTCATGCGAGATATATTTATCAGTGGTAGCAATCAAAAGCCAAAATTTTTCAAACAGATAGAATTCTAATAAAACTATAATAATGCATACTTGCCAACTTTTACGCATTTGGCGTAAAATTTTATTTCTATATTTAAAGTGGTAGTAAAATGTATGCTTTCTATATATTCCTTGCATTTATAAACTTAATTTATAATATTTTTAATTCATCACTATTTTTAAAAAAATTAAGCATATACATTAATATGTAATACTGTTCTAGTAATCCGCATAAGCTTGTTCATAATACAGTAAATGTTTCCACCTAAAATTGTAATTTACATTTCATTTTACTACCACTGGGGAATATCATCCTTGAAAGGATTGAAAGTTGACAGGTATGATAATGACTTAACATTTGCCAGCTAACTCAATCTAATATTTAATAAGTTTGCCTTAAATAATTTATTATTTGTGGTGAAGAATTTTTAATGATTAAAATATTAAGGCAATAATTTTGCTACCATTAGAAA